GTCAAGTGAGAGTTCTTGATTGTTACTCTTGGTGATCGCCATCACCTAGATGGCTTGGTGGTGATTAGGAGTTTGGTGATCATCCGGTGGAGCTTGTAGATGACCCAACTCAAGTTGTGAGCGGTTGTGGGTGATTCACCGCGACGGAGTGTCGAAGAATCAACCCGTATAGAGCACTTGATCGTTGCGCGGATTAAGGGGGAGCTACACTCTTGTGTGGGTGCTCCAACGAGGACTAGTGGGGAGTGACGACTCTCTGATACCTCGGCAAAACATCGCCGCGTTCCTCCTTCTCTCTTTACTTTAAGTATTTACTTTGAGCAATTTAATTCTTGTCTTTACATTCATAGAATTGCCATGCTAGAGTAGTATTGAAACTTAGGTTGCAAAACTTTTGTGCGGTAGAATATTAGAAATATATTCTAGGCACAAGGGGTGAAGTGGGCTAAGTGCAGGGTTTAATTATTGCAAAGAATTTTAGAATTAGTCCAATTGACCTCTCCCTTTTGAGCATCTTGATCCTTTCAAAGTTTGATCATTATTTGAGGGAGGACAATAATGTACTATTGCGAACTGTTCAGTTGGTTGGGTTTCTTGTGGTGGAACTTGTCCAACCGGGTTTAAGTCCTCGACTTGACACGGGTGCTCGCATTTTTCTGTATCTATTTCAGGATTTAATGGCGCTATTCTTTTAGTGGTAGGTGACGTATCCATCGATTCTTTTAGTGGTAGGCGACATGTCCGTCGACAGCGAGGCCCCTGTGGTGACTTCGTCAATTTCGAGATTTGTCAATCCAACTCGGTTCTTCGGAGGTGCTCATAGGGGTAGGGTGTGCGTGCGTGCGTTCATAGGGGTGAGCGTAGGCTCGTGTATGTGAGCATCTACGTCTGTAATTGGGTCTTGCAAAAAATAAGGTAATGTTTGGTTGGTGGGATAGGGTAGGATGGTCTCCCTTTAAGGTCATTTGGTTCAGAGTTCATGGAGGATGGGACGGTCCTATATTCTACGCATATTCGTGTGACTCCCGTTCCTCCAAACAGAGGGGATGGGGTCATCCCCGATCGACGACGTGAGCGAGGAGACAGAGATAAAGTCGGTGTTGTCGGAGCAGCTCCGACGACGACTCCTGTTACCATGGCTAGCAGGCTAGGTTGCCTCCGGCCAGGTCGAAGCCACCTGGGGGCGCGGCCCACCGCTGGGCCGTGGCTCCACTCCCCATGCCACCGGCAACCATCCCCCCGCTGAATCGAGGTTGCCCATGCGGCCTCTGTTTCTGCTCCGTCCGTTGGCAGCCTCTGTTCTAGATGCAAATGTCCGTAAGTTGAGGAAGAAGGGTGAAAATGGATTGGGAAGTTTTCTAGGGTTCTAGATGCAAAACCAATGACTCATATGAATAGTGCCACACAGTACTTTAGGGCTGCAGTTTAGTTCATTAGAACCCTAGGGTCCCTGGTGAAAAATGGTTTTCCTTTTTTGTTATCTTTTTTCCTTTTATGCAAAAACTATGATGAAATTTCTAGAATGCATAGTAATTAGTAGAAAAATTCTAAAATACCAAACCCAGTTTTGTTGAACTCATGTAACAGTAAAATCTTGTTTATACTAAACAGTAGCTAACGGCGTCAAATCTACCATCCATCCCATTCTTATTTATCCTTTCAACCAAACACAAAATGGGCCGTTCCCGTCCCATGTGAACCAAACAGAAAATAGAGTCGTCTCATCCCCGTCCCATCCCAGAAATTAGAGACGGGACTGTCCCACTCCACCTTAACTTCCAACCAAACGCTACCTAAAGCAGTATATATTTTAGCTTATGACTGAATGATCCTTGTCCATTCTTTGGGAACGGGATCCTCCAGATTTTATTTTGGCGCAATTAGCCAATGATGTAACTATTGTTTGAAATTAATAAAGTCGCCACGATGGCTTTTCCTAAAAAAACGTTCAATGTTTCCTCAATGGACAATTTGGACTTGGTTTTGCATAAAGAAGGTAAATTAGACTACATCGATAATTCAAAGATCAAATTATTTTTATCAAAAAATGTTTTAGAAATATTTTTTCCAAAAAAGTTATCTAGATTTTTTCATTAAAAAGTTGTGCAATAAACGTTGAAACAAAAACATTAATTATAATTTCATAGAAAATAGTTTTCACTAGGAAAAATACAAGGTCGGCTTTAGATTTTTCCTAAAGTCATGTTCTATGTTATGGTGCCTAGCATGGAAATTTTTTGATCACATGTATGTCTTCTTTGGGTTTATACAGCATGTTCGCTTGCTCGTAAACGATTGTAAATTTCCAGCCGGGAACAGTGTTTTTCTCTCACACCAAACCAGCCAGCAGTAAATAATCCACGATACGATACGGCCTCCCGAACAGGCTAATATTTGTTCTGTTATAATTAATATACATCGACAAAGACTACGCAGAAGTTTAGGTAACCTTGGTGACCGCACAAGTGTCATGCATCCACCTCATATCTTATTTTAGATGGACACATGTGTCACTTGCAGACTTGCTTATGGGCTTTTCTTAATAAAGGTTTTATTACAGCAATAATCCATAAATGTGACACATCAATCTCTGTATTTTTTTGATTGGATTTACAACAAGTTTAATGACATATCAACATTATTACCTCATATCTTTTTCTATAAAGTTTTTCGAGGATTTAATGCAATTGGTTGATCTCCAGACTGGATTCGATCTTAGGGAGTTTGAAGAACCAATCAAAAGCAAGCAACATCACCTCATGAATCATCGCGAGAAGAAAACCCGTGATCAATGTTCTAAAGAAAATATTGAAAGCCCGTTGTGTTTTGACCAACTAGTCAGATTGCCACATTACGAGTGTGTTACACCAGAAAGTTGTTCAAATCTTGTGCTTGGTTTAGAGCGAGCTAGTCCCATTCCAATGACGACCGACACGATATGATGTGTGCCTAGGTAAACCTGACAATGGTTTGGGCTGGAACCAGTTTCCATGGTTTGGTTTTCTTGTTGGACCAATTCAATTTGGGTGAAAACAGGCTGAGCAAGCTGGTGGGCTGGTTCGGTTTGATTTATTATTTAGAGTAGTTTGGTTTGGTTTGGTTTTGAACTGAGTGTTTCGGCTTGGAACGGGCGAGGCAAATGTAACGTGCGAGCACATGGAGTCATCCAACCATCACGCGTTATCATTTGGATTGCCTTCCTGGCTGCTTGGCTGCTCCCTTCCAGTTTCGTGGCATCCTCACGTCACGCGCGACCAGTTGCATGCCTAGGCGCGTAGCCCATCTCTGCGTGCACAACTGACAACACGATAATGATTTGCAGTCACGGGCTATATCGGCAATGAGGCTCTCCGCCCGGACACCCGTAGCCCCATACTGCCTGACCCGATATCCCAGTGGCCAGTGGCCAGTGGCCAGTGCCCAGACTGCCCACAGAAGTGCATGCCAATGCTCCATGCAGTCATGCACTTTCTAGTTTCACGGCATTTATGGTCACTTCCCAAAAAGCTCCCCCTGTCGTCTACCCTCTGGAAGCTCAGTGTCACAGATCAGAGGAAAGAAATGCTTCTTCCTGAATTTGGAAACAGGGGGGGTGTTTAGTTCACCCTCAATTCCAAATTTTGGCATTATGTAAAAAGAAGATTCCCTGTCACGTCAAATTTGCGGTATATGTATGGAGTACTAAATATTGACAAAATCAAAAACTAATTGCACAGTTTGGTTGTACTTTACGAGGCGAATATTTTGAGTCTAATTAGTCAACGATGGGACAATTATTACCGAATAAAAACAAAACGTCCCCGTAGCTACAGTGTAGCTACAGTGAACTCGCGTCGCCGATTCGGCCGAACTAAGCGTGGCCCTGATAAACTACTCTTGTAGCCTCGCACGGCAGAGCTTTGTTTTTTATCCGTGCAATGTAGCAAAGATTTGTTGTTTTATCTCTTCTCTCAAAATCTTTTTTTTAGAATGTATTTTGTAGCGCTTCTCGGGCCGCTTCACCGTGTCATCAACCAAACAACATCCCACGAAACAAGGAGCTCCCAAAGAGCTCGAGTTAGAAGGCCTGAAAGCCAGCTTAGAACAATGGTTAATAATATAGCCGACTTTGTTAGCTGTAAGGTTTTTTTTTAACTTTCTCTCAGGCCATTTATATAGTAGTTAGCTTTTCACTATTAATATATGGTCTACTGGTCTCTCTCACAAAGTTTCCTGGTTCCTTTGCCTAAGCCGACTGTAAGCTTACAGCCCGCTTCTCTTATCTCTTATCTCCTCTCTTCTCCACCTCAGCATTTAGCCGACTTAGAACATCTCTAAGAGACTCTTCATATTCTTTCTAAATGCTAGGAATAGAGATTTTGGTGAAAAACTACCATCCAACAGCTCTTCTAAATGGTCATTTAAATATAGCCATATTCTATTTCGGATTTTCCGCTAGCTAAATATAGAAGACGAGAATAGCTCTCTAGAGTGCGCACAAGCTGTAGAAAAGCTGTTGGAGAGTGAAAATATATAGAAAGCAATTTTTATGCAAATGACTCTTTAAATAATGATTTAGAGAGTGGAATTTAGAAAGGCTCTTGAGATGCTCTTACAACCTACTATTATACCTGCTCTAAGTTTACACAGATCTATAAATAGACATGGACGTTCGCTTGAACTACTTCACTGGGGCTTTTCAGCAAACGAACGATATTTTCCTCTACCAATGAATCAGTATAAACGTCAGCCTAAACCAAATTTTAGCGAAACGGACGAGGCCAAAGAGGAGAGATTGCAGCAACAGCTAGCAGTGATCCTGTAGAGAGGTCATGCCAATAAAGACCAAAACTTTACACCATTTCCATTTGGACCACCCGTAACAGGTCCATCGTCAGCCAGAGGCAGTGGCGACCTATCAGTAGAACTGTAGAACAGTGAGCTCCCTAGTCCACATGAGCTAAGCACCCAAAGAATGTCAAATCTATCTGTACGGCCAGCCTTCAGTTGCCAAGCTGCTACTATGTCTGAGCTGATCCAAGGGTTACCTTCTCAAACCGTTTGATCTCGTCAGCCAATCGCTCCATGTTATCGTCATATACGTAGGGAACCCCTTCGAACATCGTCTTGCTGCCGTTCACTGGCATTGGCACGAACTCACGGCAAGGCTCTCCCATGACATTGATGGAGTTGTGGTAGTGGTAGTATCTGATCAGGTTTTCCGTCTTGTGGGTCGTCCTCCCGTAGAGGTTCTGCGACATGTGCACACCAGCTGAGTATGCGTTCCGGGCCTGGATGGCGTACTTGCGATCCCGGCGAACTTTGGTGATCGAGTTTCGGAAGACGAGTTTCTCAAATCCCCATTCTCTGCATATCAATAGCACACATATAAGATGGTTTAACAAACACAGCAAAGTGGCATGTAAATCTTGGTGGAAGTGGCACTGAAGACTCATACCAGACATTTTTTCAGTTTCTATTCCTATGGAGGTTATTCACAATTTTTCATTTCTAGTTACAATGTCGTTTTCATTTGTGCACCATTTCCCAGCTTGGAAAAATGATATTTTTTTCCTGGGCAAGTTGCTGTGTTTCTTCTCAAACTGTCAATTGAAAGTTCAACTTTTAGTCCAGGAGTGAAAATTTGCACCTAACCCGTTCACATCTGGACTTTGAGAACATAATTTAGGTAAGGGAATCTAACCAAGCTCATGCCATGTGAGGGTTGCAAGGACACAACCAACAAGACTACCAAATTAGTCAACAAATTGTATAAACAAATAGTCACCGACTTGCTTTCTTAACCAATGTAAGAATGTATGTCTGATCAAATCGGGATACCAACAGAAATCAGAGTTGCATTAAGCCTGAACATGATGATTCCTACAACAAGCCCAATCTAGACCATAGCAACTGGGCCATTTTTCAATGCAAAATGTAACTACCTCTGCGTGAATCAAAAACATACGAGGAAACAGGAAGACAAACCTTGAGTAATTCCTGCTTGGATCCTGCAGGCAGAGCTTGCTGGACATGGGATTCTGCTCAATGGTGAATTGAGAGTAACCCGAGAGCTGGCCGAGCACTTCGTCGAGCTTCTGCCCATTGGGCAGGTAAAGGTACTCGTCGACGTCGAAGAAGAAGGTCCAATTGGCGGCGTGCCGGTAGCGGTGCAGGCAGTCGTTCACCACCAAGAACTGGTTGTAGTAGTATCCGTCGTACTCCGCCTGCGCCCGGATGTCCTGCACGGTGACCCGGCCGGCCCTGACCCACGGATCCAGCACCGCCTTCACCTCCGGGCTGATACCGCCGGCGTCGTGGAGCACGAAATGCGACCTGGGCCCGAAGAAGTGCGCGTGGTATGCCACCCACTCGCGCATCCGGCTGGCGCTGAGGTTGCCGTACAGCGACGAGCCGCAGTAGAGGTAGTCGTACTGGAACGGCGGGCTGAAGCGGGACTCGTCGTAGGAGCCCGGCGCCTCCTCCAGCGCGACGAAGCGCTCGTACCGGCGGGAGGCGGTGGAGTAGTAGGCGTGGACGAGCAGCTTGCCCCCGGCGTTCCCGGCGTTGGGGTTTGAGGGGAACGTGCAGTTGACGACGACGACGGTGTAGACGCGGCCGTAGCCCCAGTCCGGGAGCATCTTGTACGCCTTGGTCCGGACGGGGCGCGGCGAGGGGTCGCCGGCGGTGGGGTTGGGCAGCCACTCGCACTTGAAGTAGGGGGTGCCGAACACGTGGGTGGGCTTGGACGCCAGCCCCACGATGGCGAACGTCCGCGGCCCGCCCCGGTACGCGCCCATCAGCACGAACAGCGCCGCTGCGCTGCCGTACGGCCGGAGCACGCGCTTGTTCGGATCTTCCGGCCGCGCCGCCTTTGCCAACCGCACCGGGGCAGCATTTGAGGCGGCGGCGGTAGCTGAACCCGCCGCCGCCGCCGCCGCCGGTTGGTTCGTGTTTGTGGCAGTGCCGCTGGTGGCGTCAGGAGAGGCGAGGTCCGTGGCAGCGGTTGCGGTGAGGAGGGTGCAGGAGGACGACGCGGAGGTGCGCGCCGTGGTGAGCAAGGAGCCGTAGGGCTGTAGCTGCCAGAACGCCACGAACAGCGTGAGGAAGGCGAGCGAGGCCACGAAGGACTTGATGTCGACGCACGGGATGGCAAACGGCGCGCCGCCGCCGCCGCCGCGGCCCGCGTCTTTCCTCGTGTTATACTTCATGGCCTGTTAACTCCCCCGTCCCCCGATTCTCGCCTACAGCTCCTCCTCTACCGGCCGGGCAAGCGAGTAACGCGAATGCCCCCGGCCAGATGAGCTGCGGCGAAGCACGGCCGGAGCTGGGCGCCGCGCACTTGCCTTCTCTTCTCTCCTCTGCTCTTCACTCCCCCACTCGCCCTATCTTTCTTGGGAACCGGCCAAAACACGAGCCCGGATCGACGGCGATAAAAGGAGAGAAAGTATGGGGGGATGCGAAGAATGGGGGAGGCGATGGTGGAGGAAGGTGATGCGGGAACGGGAATCGGTCGGTCGGCGGGTCGGATGGTTCTGGAGACGCGCGGCGAGTGGTGGTGATGCCTGATGCCTGGCTGGGGGCCGGCGCCGCGAAGCAGCAACAGTCAAAGCTGGTTGGCTTCCAAGTTATGGCAGCCAGCTCTCTCTCGCCGCGCGGGGCCGCGCGTGGGGAAAAGGGAAGCCGTAATGGTCGCTGGCTGGTGGGCTGCACTGGCATACCGCCGCTTCGTGCGGTTACGTCGTACGCAGCGTAATGCGACGCGTCCCCACCAAACCAACCGCGTCGCCGTGCTGGACAGGGGAGGCTGCTGGCAGATTTGGCGGCGCGCGGTGAAAACCCGAAGAACAGCCGGCCAGATTCCGCTCCGCTGAGCTCGGTGGAATCAGCCGTGTTTCGGGTTTACACCACACGGCTAGTTACGACGCAGGCTGCCGCCCTCAAGTGTTGGTGCTGGGTGGTTTTCGTCTTTTTGGAACTGCATGAAGATCGTGGGTGCCCGGTGGCTTCACGTAACGGCGCCGCCGCCCGCCGAAGGGCTCGGAGTCTCCGACAGCTCTCCACGAATCAAACGGGCAGCCTCGACGTGTCACCAACCGCGCAGATGCTTCGGCCCGCGCGCATCTCTACAAATACAACTCCCTCTCCCTGGTACCTTTCAAATTCGAACCGAACTCGACGTGTCAGACGACCCTAGCTCACGTTACACGTATGGCAATCTCTTTTCGGCCTAGAAGAAGATCCGTCGGTGCATCTACTCCAGTCGTCTTCCTCGCGGCCTCTTCGGCTGGTGCGCTTCCACATGTACCATGCACGAGCAAAGGTCATATCTCCATTAACGCCACGCTTTGACACCCGAGGATCCCTCAAGTCCTCAATCATATACGTACTTTCTGCTTTCGTCTTTGCAGTACACTCCCTAGCGCTAGCGGTATCATTATCCTTTTCCTCCTATCTTCGGCCTGTACTACGCAGTATGCGCCTGCCTGCCGTGCCGTTGTGCAGGATCTCGCAGCGCGACGAACCAGGAGCCAACCGGGGTGGTCAGGACTCAGGAACGGCAAATCCTGGCACATACGGCGGTAGCATCTTTCGTGGTTGTGGAGGCCTCGATCTAACCTCTGCAAACGCAGCCATTGTGCAGGGCGTATTTGGAGGCCACTGCACTGCATCAGTAACCGCCTGACCGGGCAGGGTTTGCCCCAAATGATGACCTCGCTTGGTTCGCGTGTCCTTAAATATGGTTTAATCTGCTTCTTTTTTTATTTGAAATAGTGTTTTTCTCTCACAAATTCCTCTAACATTCCTCCAAACCGTTTAAATTACTACAGAATTCCTCCAAGCGAACAGGCCATTGGAGCATGTGGCTGCTGCTTTCGGGGTTGAAACGACAGCTGACAGCATGTGGCAAACAGAACATTGGTCGATTGACCCCGCAAACGCTTTTCTTTTTTCGTTCGGCGCAACATAGAATTGTAGCCGCCTAGCTGTATACTCTTCTTGCTAGTTCTAGATGACCACATAACATACTCTGGCGGTGGAATGAAAGATGCATGGACTCCTGCCGTAGATCTACCAAGCGATACGGTGGTTTCGACGTCCATGTCGATAGGGACGTGTATCGCCCAAAATTCCGAAGGCCTACTTTGGCAGCACGGGTAAACCAAACCCGGGAAAAAAGCCACGCGCGTGGAATCTTTTGGACATTTAATTCCCGCCACCATTCCTGGGGAGATTTCCACGTGGGGTGAGTTTTTCCCGTGGCTATTTGGCATGTCATTGTGAACTGAACTGCAGCTGCAAACCACAGTCGAAGCAGAGCAGAGCTGCAAGCCACTGCTATGCTCTACTGCAGCTGCACTGAACCTTGGTACGTCTTAAAAATTTGAAAACAATGCCTTAGAAAATCAAGAAACAACAGATTTTTTTGAATAATATAAGGAAATCACCACATATAGATGCCAACCACAATATTTTCATGCACATAATGCATGAAAAAGCACAATATCAAAATTATTTGACATAGTCCAATACATAGAAAATTTAATCCAAGTGGCAAATTCAACCTAGCTAATCCATTCGTCACCGAATCATAGATCATCTCCATCCAGATATCCAAGGCATACATGAAAAAAAAATTATGGTTCAACTCCTTTTATAAGCAGTGTTCGAGAGAAAAAAAAAGAACTCCTTTGCATAAGCTTCTCACATAGGCACTACAGCTAGTAAAAACAATTTTCTTCTCAAATCATGCATTTGCTTCCACACCAAAAACCCTGCAGGTAAACAAGGAAAAACATTAGTAGCTTAGAGACATACCTAAAGTAAACTAATCTAGTGCTGCTATGATACATCAACTTGAACCAAGGGTAAACATGTGGCATGCCACAACAAATATTGTCATTACTACGCACAATAGTATTCATAGGTAAAATAGCTTTCAGCTACAAGCCTACAGGACTAAGTCATAGGTAAGTGCTCAAAACATTGATGAATACTATACCCTAATTTATTAGTAAACTTTACTGAAATGAAATTGCATAACTTTGTACAAGGAAGAAAAGGTTGCTAGTTCAGGGAAGGAAAGTGCTCAGAACTACGTAGATGCTTAGATAAATAACAAGTGTCAACCTAGGCTAACAGAAACATAGAAACAATGTGTTGCATGACAAATCTAGTTAAGAGAAACATCAATTAATTTGAGGATGGTCACAGATTAGTGTCAACAATTGTAGTCAATATCAAGCTGTAAGTTGACTGCATCATCGTCTAAAAATCTTATTCACTGAAAGTAATCAATATCTGAAAATCAGTACATGCTAACACAGTCAAACAGTAGATGATAACTCAGTTCACTGAAAGTCATTTAAATGTAAACAGAAAAAGATATGTATTGAATTAATCACAGAAACAGATATGAACTAGTTATAGTTAGCAGTACTATCACAGTTAAATAGTAGATGCGTTGGAAACTTGATCTACAGGCTATCACTCTAAAAACTTTAAACATCTCTGAAAACTTGATCTACAGGCTATCACAGTTAGCAGTACTATCACTCTGAAAACTTTAAACATCTCATAGCTGCCAATTCATGACTGCTCATAAATGTCCTCTATCTCTATCTACCCGTCCATCCCTCCTACTCATATATACCAATTCATGATTCACAAAAAATGGGGAAAACACAAAGGATAAGCAGACAAGTTTTCTGCTACAGATATGTTAATTATCCACACATATAGAAGCAACAGTAGCATACTATGCAGAACAGGTAATTCCTAGGCTAATAAAAAAATAAGATCAATCGGCAGTCATAGTTGTTGGCAAGTGCAAGCTGTTGTTCAAATAATATACCTGCATACAATGACTGCAGCTGCGTTTTTCTTCTCAATTCAAACATTGCCTCCACCAACAATGCCTCCACTGATACCACTGCAAGTAAGCACAAGGAAAAGCATTAGCTGCTAAGGCATACCAAAGTAAACTAATCCAGTGGCAGCTAAGCATTACTTAATTTGTTGTTTGAGCCAAATCAAGCGAACATTTTTGTTTTTCATTTTCATGAATACCTCCCTGTCAACTGAAAATTCTTCGTCTTGTTTCTTCTTTTCATTCAGAGCTTCCATGGTTTTATTTGTTTGCATCTTCTTAAACTACACAAAACCATCAATAGCAACACCAATATGACTTTGCTTATGCTTTCTCCCACCACTCGTTCCTTGCATAGAATCTTGATTGGAAGGTGCAGACTGAGCTTCATTGCGTGCACTTGAGACGTCTAGCCCATCAAAAGTAGCACATGAACTTGTGCTATCAGACACAGCAACAGGAGCAGCCAGAGCAGCCGGAGCAGCAATAGGGACAAGAGGAGCAGACTGCAAGTGCTCAGTTGATGTGAAGTTTAGATCTCCTGTAGCAACACTTCCTATGCAAAAAATAGTGCACATTCATACTTCAAGTGCAGGCATACTATAACTTAAACTGAAAGCAGTGCACAATCATACTATCAAGTTAGACGGTGCTTTACTCTCAAGTAGAACAATAAGGCTACATAACCTTAGAGAGAAGTTTCAAATAACATACCAACATACAATGACGTATAGTCTTCCTATAAAGGAAACGACTTCTTCTGGGACCTAACCATTTTTCCATTATCCTATTTAATACCAAGACAACAACATAGTTAGTGCTTGCAACCAGAATATGGCAACAATTTTTTGGTTCAGTGAAAAATTCTTACATTGATCAGTTTCTTCCATTTTTTCGGTTCCACAATGACCATGGCCAATGAGTCATTCCAACTAACACCACTATCCTTTAACGCTACATGTATCGCCTTCCAGCTGCCCTTTAGCTCCTTTTCCTTCTCTTGTAGCTGCTGCTTTGTGAAGCATGCTAAAGAATACATTTGGGTAAACTTCTCTGAGATACTTCTCCAACCCTCTCCACTCCATCCATTCTGACCCCTGAACAAGGGGATGTTCACATGGTCCCTCATAATGTCAACAAGCCCTTTCTCATATCTAGAGTTCCATGTAGCCCTTGCCTTCGACATTGCTGCAAGAAATAATTACAGAAATACATAACTCATAAAATATTATAGAATGTATTGGAGAATTTATTACAAAATGTTGCATCACAAAGAAATACATAACTCATAACATATTATAGAATGTATTGGAGAATTTATTACATAATATTGCATCACAT